TTTTGCACTATTTTCTACATAATCAATCAGTCATGTTAATATTAAATCTTTGGTAATAGCCATTCCAATACGTGTCCAAAGAAAGTCCCTTTAAAAAACTTGCACTTAAGAATAATGGAAAGTTTACACTACTTTGTACCAATTATCTTAAGTGTCAGCTTTAAAGACATACTTTCGTTTGCAGACGTATTGAATCAGCATAACGGCCGGATCTGACAAGATGTTTCTAACAAGACTTTAAGACATTTGTGCTAATGAACCAAAATGTGATCGATTTTTCTCAAGTCCCGGCGCGGTCTTTACTGTTCAGCCAAATTGTCATTGAAGAGGATTCCTGCTTTAAGAAGGGATTACAGGGATTTCCTCTGCAGCCAACTGACAATCACAGGGATTTGCAAACCTGTGTGTCACGGCGCATAGAAAACATTAGTCCGGTGTCTTAAATAGACAGAGACGGTCCGGGTGGCTAGCTCGGACGTCCAGGGACCCTTTAGTACCTACTTTTCATCCCTAATTCCGTCACTACTATTTTGATTATCCGAACTTTGTTGGTTGGGTTGTTTTACCTTCAGAGAATATTGTCCACTTACATTGTCAGTCCTGGTGCTCGAATAAAGGCAACTAACTTGATATAAGGTATCGTTGCAAACTTTGCGTCGGTGAAGGTTAGACATCTAGGTAATAAAGTACACCAAAAACAGTTACTCAAGCAACTGGATATGCTTTTGGAAACGGTCAGACGTTTCAGCTAGTATCCACTAGCTTTCGTCAGTGACACTGGAGAAGTTGACAGACGAGTGTCCCTGGCGAGAGGTGTCTCCAGTTTCCACAATCATATCCAGTTGCTTCAGTAACTGTTTTTGGTGTATCTTATCACTTATACGACTACCCTTCACCGACGCAAAATGTGCAGCGATACCATATATCAGATTAGTTTCCTTTATACGTTTTTGATACTTTGCAAACTCTGTTAGTTTAGTTTCCTCACCTTCCGGCTGTAGAATCTCGTCCACCAGAGCGGTGAGCCACGCCTGCCGGGCCCGGCTGATCATGTCACGTGTCCGCTCCTCCGTCATCGTCACGTCAGTGATGCTTCTCCTAAAAAAGTTCAAATTTAAGTTTAAGATTCCGTCATTTAGACAATATAGGAAGATAACATCCTTTGGACCGGGTTAACTCCAATAACTCAGTACATAGTACGTACAATGCTGATTCATAAATGCCGCAAAAAGCCAGCGTGTGCCGGCTTGTCGAATACGTCGCTTTGTATTGCCGCGAATTCACAATACCTGCTTTCTATTCCTGTGGTTTAGTAGAGTTTTATTTTTGCCCGGAATTTTTTTTATTCGCCCGCGCGCACTAGTTTGGGCGTCTTCAGAGGATGTCATCCATAAAATTAAGTCAATGTGGCCTTAGTAGAAGTTACTTGCTGATCTGTGCATACAGTTAGTACGCTACGGTTATAAGTCTCAAACTATTCCCACTGGCTTGTGAGTAGACCAATTAGCGAAATGGAAGCTTCATTCGGGCTTTATTATGAGCTAATTATGAATAATTGGTCACCCTCTCGGCGCAATTATTGTCCAAACAGCGAAATAATAGATATGTGCTGCTCATAAGATTTCCCTCATTTTCCTACTTAATTGCAATTTTTGGGTGGCATTCCCTAAGGAAAAACTATGTAAATTTGTTCATACATGTTATACTTTTGACTCAGTTATATAACTTTAAGTTAGTGCGTTTGGCCCATGTAGGGCGTGAATATGCAATGTTATTGTCATTGTTATGTCTTCCATGGTCTAAAAAAGAGAAGTCAAACCCCTTAGACATAGTTTTAGACATAGCTATAGCTTTAGACAACTACCTTTTATCATGTAATTTTAAGTTATTTCATACTCTGTTTCATTGTTCTTTATGTTTGTAATTTGCAAGTAGCCCCCGGGCATGAATTTGCAAAAAACGTCTAACTACATGTATATTGTCATTGTTCAGGTAGGTACGATGATGATGATGAGTTGGTAGTAATTCTATGGCAGCGTAATTTCCGCTTGTTTTGATCTGTATGGCATATTTCATTTCCTGAGAAACCATAATGTCCGGCCTGCTCCATTAGTAAGATGGCGTCTCCAAAGTGTTGCTGGGAAACATCGAAACACATCGAGGTGCTCTTAAAATCCATTAAGTCAATTACTATCAGCTACGGGAACATTGAGGAGACTTTTTGCCCTTTCTCTACCATTCGCGCTGTTTTGATAGTGAATTTTCATTTCCGAGGGTCCCTTTTCTTCTCTGATTGAGTCACACTAAGTTGGACGACAACGACGTCACACTAAGTGAGTCATCCACAAATTAATTTTGAGAAAACTGAAAAAAAAGGCTAAAAGAAAAGGGAAAAATCGCTAAACGAAGATATGTTGGTTTTTCATAATGCACTTTTTTCTGTGATGTCAAGTAACCAATTAGTCTCCTTCCATAAGCAGGTCCGAATCTGCTGTAGATAATTGAACACTTTCTCTCCTCACAAACAGGTTGTGACTTAGGTCTAGGACGTCGGTCCGTCTCACGTCAGTAATACGCGGTTTTGGATCGCACTAATACAAAGTAACCACACGCCTGCATTAGGTGTACTTAGGGCTAATCTCCAAGCAGATCTTACGGTGTCCGCAAAAGACGGCATCAAATACCATGAGCCAGACAGTGTCCATTGGCACACTTCGGCGGCTAATGGACACTCCTCTGGCCGATGGATACTGCCTTACCACCGTGTGATCTTCTTGGAGACTAAGCCTCTGTACACTTGAAGAAGCCACACAGGCGAAACCGGTCGTGTGACAGGCTGAATAAAAGTTCTAAACGGGAACTATGCAGCTCCAGATGTCTTACTGAGGGACGACTGTGTGTGCAAGATGTCGGTTAGCTGAGGAATGAATCCCCTCTAATGTATACTAGTACTTCTTGGAGACTAGGTTATAGTGGATTACGACTTAATCTCTCCGCGTGCGAAGTTCCTGCTTGTGGAGGCAGGACGGTAACCCCTCTCCATTACCGCCCACCCGCGCGGTTATACCGTTTAATTACCAGTAATATCTGGGTCACGGGAAACCACTTTGCAGCGTTTAAACGTCCCCGTACATGTAATGGCCGCTCACAGCGGCTCTGTTCCACGCCGTTATAATCGTTGTGAAGATATTGTCTTGGCAGGTAGAAAGAGCTCACGGATTGTTCAAAAAAAGATGTTAAGTGCTCTGTGGAAGGGGGAAGACTTTTACCAAACTTTAATTGCTTTTTAATGATCCTGCTAGACGAGAATGCGGTTTACGCTTACACAAAG